TCAAATTTTTAAATTTATAAACATGTAAAAAAAAAACTAAAAAAAAAACATGTTTTCAACATAAATGTAGTAAAAGAATATTAGCATACATGCTAATCATATACTCAAACTTACAATTGATATAAAATTAAAGTTCTAATATAATAATAATAATAATAATAATAATAATAATAAATAACTAAATTAAAATAAAAAAGAGTACTTACTTATTGAAGCACCTTAAAGTAATGATTTTTTTTGTTATTGCCAATAATAAATTATTTTTTCTTAAAATTTTAGGAATTGTACTTTTTTAATATGAGATAATAGTTTTTTTAATATTATATTTGCAATTGCTTTTTTGTACAGTTTTTTTTTTCATTTTTAAAAAAATGAAACTATTCAATTGATTTTCCTATTTTTATTATCGTGTTATTAAATTAAAACAAACCCTAATCGAAGAGATATTTATATCAGTTGCATTGGTTTATTCTCTCTCTTTAATTACTCCCCCATGTTTTGATGTTGGAGATTGGAGTTCAAATCTTAGAAATAGAGAGTTAAACATGTTTAAGCTCTTTAAGTTACTTGTCGGGGATCTTCTACTTAAATTTAAGTACGAGACCGCCAAAGGTAACTTCTTCAACGTTGGCAACTCTTGGTCTCAGCCTCTTTACTTCCTAACTTTCGGACATTGGAGTTTAAATCTTAGAATTAGAATTCGAAGAATAATTTCCACATGCAAGAGAAAATGAAGGGGAAAAACCGTATATACAATAGCAAAAGGCTTATCCTCTAAAACGCACAGGGAATATGGAAAATTGACCCAACAAATGAAAAGCAGATAGAATCCAATATCCTCAGTCTGGGCTGCCGGGCCGATGAACAATCTAAAACGCAAAATCTATTACTAAGATAGCATAAAAGGTCTTGAAGCAGTAAGAGGCTTAAAAGCAACAATGGCTTCAACTCGTTCATTAATTGGTCTCAGGGTTTTAATGTTTGAATTACTAATCACCCGGCGATGACCTTCCCAGGGCTTCCATCTAAATTTCTTTTTTGTTTTTGTTTAAAGAGAGCGCTATGGATAATGGATACTAGTTGTGCTATAAATTTATCAGGGTTGAAGAAGGTTTTTTTAATTACAAATGAGATTCATCCCTTGTTCTTTCCTTTTCTAAAAATTTAAAAAAAGCATCAATAGCATGGTGCGGAGGAGGGCATTAGATTTACGTAAATCACTCCTTTTTCTTTCCTTTTCCCTTTCCCCTATTTAGAGGGGGTCAACGTTTGCAGTCTTGCCGCATTTTTGCCGAGTTTTGATGCGGTGCCCCAAGATCAGCCCTGTAATCTTTTTTTAACTCCTGAAGCTTTGAATTGGCTTGGTACTCTTAATTAATCAATCCCCTAGCTCTTATAATCAAGAAAATTCAGATTATTGGGTGAAAACAACCTTGTAAGTAAAGAGTATGGGCTGGCAACAATGGCAAGAAAGAGATGATCTAGAGAATAAAATCTTCATCCTGTTAATGACATGAATATACAACCTTAAATGTAAGAGATATTAGGTCTCCACCTATTACATGACCTGTACCTCGTTGTTAGCAAGTAGAAAGTACTGCAACCCAAAGGATACAGTGACAGCTATATCAACATAAAGTAAGAACACCCCTCTTTGCAGTCCCCTCCCTCAGTTGAAACAAATAAGATGGATTGGTTTGTCTACCTTTTGCGCTTGGACTTCAAGGATGTCACCGATTGAGAGTTGCTGTGCCAGTTCCTCTTCCTTTGGTTGATGAACCAATTGTTAATCTGCTTTAGCTGTAACCCTGTCTCCTCCACAAGTTTTGCTTTGTCATCTTCCTGAAAACCATCATGCAGACATGCTCTTATTTATAAAATAAAGTTTTTAATTCAAAGCTTATGATAATCTCCCTAACCGGAAAAGAGAAGGGGGGCTAATGCACTAGCTCTAGCATTAGTTTGAGTGTCAAATTATTTGTTTTGGTAAGAGCCAAGAAATTTTCAAATATGGGATGGCATTAATGTAGATATGGTAAAATATTTTTTGAACAGTGAAGAAGTTGGATCAGTGGCTTACAGTTGGGTAAGGCCACTTGGAGTGTTGCTGCCACCAATTCTTCAGCACTGAAGTAGTGTCACCCGGTAGTTTTCCAGCCCTTCTTTTTCTCAATATCTCCTCCCTGACATCTTCAATTCTTGATTTGAAGCCCTGCAAATAAAGAAAAGTCAAGTTTTTTTTTTGTTTTGACATATAGAAGGTCTGCTTTTTTGTGCTGGCTGCATCAGCTTAATTTCAACCTTTAGTTTTTTCCATAGCAGTTTTATACACACACCTGCTTTAATTCAATCTTCAGTTCCTGCCGAACTCTCTCCATCAAAGACCTTTCAGATTCTGTAGGAAGCAGAGGGCCAAATCCCATCATGTCATGCCCATCAGCACTTGATTGATCTAAAGAGAAATCCATTTGCAGGTCATCCTCATCGTCAGACATGGTTGCACCCGTACCTTCTCCTAGGGTCACACCTGAAAGAGATTTATGTAAATAATCCATCCATCTTGAAGGACAGCATACTTGAAGGAAATAGGTAAAACTATCGGGATTCATGACCACCGTTTCATTTTTAGAATTTAGCAGTACTCCATATATATGCTGTAAACTTGGGTAAGCTATATTTCCTGACTTCAACAAGAGAATGCGGCAACTCATCAGAATGATAGAAGGACATGCTTCCGATAGATTACATAAATAGTTTACCCATTTTACAAAGCATTTTGCCACATATCATGACATTTGGGACGCAAGTACTGAGGAGAGGCATAGAATAATTCAAAAGGGAAAAAAGGAATATGATCTCTGCAGGCTAAAGGATTTTTCTTTGATACATGGAAAATGAAAGTTAAGGTGGTTTCTAACCAATCATCAAGTCATATATCATGTGACGATATTTAAGAATGACTTGGAACATATCTTCTCTCATATCTCAATTATATGATATGTTGGGATCACCTATCATTATTGATCGACAAGCACTGCAATTATGCTGTCGGAAAGTTCCTTGAGCTCTTACAACCCCAACTCATTTCCCAAGAAGAAATCGAAACACGAACAAGGCACGATTAATTATTTAAATTTTGCGAACTATCTTCCAAGAAAACTATTGGGTGGTGATCGATTGAGTTTTTTCTTTTTTCCTTTTCTCTTGAGTGCAAGTTGTTTCGCTGTATTTTTGGGAGTGGCTACACATCTCAAAGGGAGGAAAGTGGGACATAATTTCTTTTGAGTATATCTCAAGCAAAGAATAAGTTAAATCCAAGACTATGAAAGTTCTATGGTCAGACCATGACATCTGTCAAAAGAAAATCCACAAAATATATACTCATGATTTAAACACATGGAACAATATCATGGTTTAAGGTCACCCTAATCATAATCAAAAGCACGTAGGTGTTATATAAGGTTAAATCATCTTTTTTGATCTTAAGGTTAAATCATCTTACATTGACAACTAACAGTACTAAAGTTGGAACTCAAAAACTCTTCTCAATTAATTGGTGTTTTCTTTATATTCCATGAATAAACTAGGCTTGAATCCAACATTTCAGTGATGGATAACCCTAGCTAGTTTGGATCACGTACAACCTAGAGCTCAGTGCACACTCAACCCTAGGTCTAACCAAAAATCTTTCTCAAAACATGATATCTTATATAACATTTGTGGCAAATTATTCCCATCAATGAATTTGCGAGATATCGAACAACGAATATTATCACTAGTGCACCCGTAATAGTTAAAAAACACAAAATCATTCAATATTGCGATCACATGTACATAAACTTGATGTGATTATTTGATGTATCAGAACTCTCATCTTTCAGCAAATATATCCTGAAATATATTTCCTTACAAACACCATTTTCCTAGCTAAGCCAAAACAAGTTACATTAATTATCAATACAATACAATAGGGGAACCATGTACACACACACACACACATGCACATGCACATGCACATACAGTAGGGGAACCATGTACACACACACACACACGCACACGCACATGCACATGCACATACATGTATTTTAATACACATAGCAAGAATCTATATAAAATTTAGCTTGGTCTGCATTATTCTGTAAACAATAGTCCAAGAATTAAACATTAAGTAATATACATCTTTGGCCTCATTTTAAACTTTATTCAAACATTTTTCATAGGAATATGTTAACTTTATCAAAATGTTCAAGAAGTCACCTATTTCACTTTGAAAAGTACTCTCTTTCCATAGAGATAAATTGTAAGTTAATTAATGGCTCTAGCATTGAAGTTGTACACTTTCCTAAATCTTGCCTGGACCTCAAAGAAAGGCAATAGTACTGCTAAGAATTGTAGGGAGAATTTCTAAAAAAAGCATAACCGTCAGCATATTGCAATCATAATTAGCAATAAACTGCTCAAAGGTTACCAAACCATACATTAAGGTTTCTGATCTAAACGACTAAACCTTTAACAAGTAAATGAGTACTATCTAATCTCATGTACTGGCCTAATAACTCTACTTGGTAATTATTGTGAAGATGAGTGGTTTACGAGTATTAATTCTTTCCCCGTTTACATATGATCTGTCTTCATCAACTATATACCCAAGAAGAAACTTCTGAAAGTGGAGACACCAGAAAAACAAGGCTTATGCATTATCTTACTAAGTTTAAAGTACTCGAGGAAATCAGTAGAACCAAAAATATTCTAGAATCCAAATATTCGAATGCAACCTCATTGTTTGTTGGAGGTTGGTGGTGGTGGTGGTATCCTCCTTCAAGGAACAAACACATAGCACTCCAAGTATAAATTACTACTATGATTTTTCTACTAGTAGGCCCTACTGCATCGGCCTCCAGTATAGATTATTCTTAAACTTATAAGAAACTTACACGGCTAACCTTATCTTTCTATGTACCAAACCCATCAAACATCAAAACAAGTATAGAGCATAAATTATATGTATATATTTCCAAGCAATCAAAACAGACAAGAAAGCTTTCTTTGATTGCATCTTATTAATTTCTTAAGCCAGCTGCTAATTACTAATTTTAAACTCAATTAGTATGAATCCTAAAAATTATTAATAGAAAACATAAAGTCATACACGTATTTTGCGATCCCAAAAAAAAAAAAACAAAATGATTGATTAAAATATAAGCTGATTATGACTGTACAACACCTTAATTCACCAAAGAAAAGGAAATATGAAGGGCTGACATTTAAGAGGAGGGGGGGAGGACAAACCAGTGAGAGCCTGTAAGGTGGTCTCAATTTCACGGCAGGCCATAACAGCTTCAACGGCGTGCACTCTGACATGTTGTTGAAGCTGGTCTTTGAAAGTACACAATATTATCAAATACTGTGCCTGCAAAAGAAACACACATCCCATAAACAAGCAAACAGCAAAACAAAACACCACTACACTCACACACACATATGTGATCACAAACCCTCAACACACACGTATATAAAAAAAAGAGAGAGAGAATTACAAATTTATGGGGAAGAAGAACCTACCAGGAAGTTGTCTAGGTCTTGCCTTTCATGGGGAGAAAGAGAATGACCATGTTGGCTGTGCTGTGAAGCATAAGACCTAAGAAGATGATGAGATTGTGATAACTGAGCATCTATAAGAGGTAATTGATCAATTGGTGTAGCTACACGAAGGCAAGACACGTGAGCTGATAATAGCTGCTCATATAAAGGGTGTGTAGCTATTTCTGCCTTGAGTTGGCGAGACTGATCACCTGATAAAGACACAGACATCTCTCCACTGCTTAAACCACCAAGTGCACCCCCACTTCCACTTCCCATCATGCCCAAGTTTGGTTCTTGCATTTGTAAATATTAGCACTAAAGATTCAATCTCTCTATATGGGAAAGCAAAGTAATTGAAGAGAGAGTGTAGAGAAAAAAAACAAAACGGGTTATAAAGAAAGCAAAAAAGATTTATGTAGTGAGGGTTTTGAGGACCACAAGGCTCTTATGCTTCGAGACTGATACAGTGTTTAATGGATGTTGAGAGAAAGAAAGAGCTGAGAGGGAACAGAGAAACAGTGTTTTGTTGTTATAGGTGAGAGAGAGAGAGAAGGCAGGAAGGGGCAGAGAAACAGTGTTTTGTTGTTATAGGTGGGAGAGAGAGAGAGAGAGAGAAGGCAGGAAGGGACCTGTATATTGGGATCTGAGACACAAAACTTTCTGCACCAATTCTGATATGTTGCAGAGATTTTTACAGACACAAAGAAAGATAAATGAAGACTTAAAAGCATAGAAACAGGTGATAGAGAAAGAAAGAGAGACTGAATTTTGGTTTTTTCGAGTCTTTGAGAAATTGAAAAGAGAGAGGAGCTATGGAATCATTTCTACGAAAGGGAAGGAGTTGGGGGTTGGATGAGAGATCAGATAAAGCTGCTTCCAGTGGCCTGACATTTTTTATTACTTTTTGTTTCTTTTTATTCTTTTTTTTTTTTGGGGTGGGGGGGTCTTAATTTAACATATGTATAAGCTTGACAATAAATTAAAGGTGGGGTTTGATTAGGTATATATATGTTAGCTAGTGTGTGTGTGTGTATATATATATATATTCTTTGTAGGTTTATCAGAAGAGAATTGGATTAAATATCAATTAAATGATCTTGGGATATCAGAAGATTTAGATTCTTGTTCGCTTGTGTTGATTTTATATATATATATATAAAACATACAAGAAATTCTCAATGGAAACTTAATTATATAATTACCACTAAATTACAAGATTGAGGATTTAATCATCTCAACTGATAAATTCTTAAAGGCAAGATACTTTGGACACGCCATCCTTTTCTCTCTTTTTTCATTATAGAGACGGTCATGTTTAAAGTTGTGCTAGCCTTTTTTTTTTTTTTTTTTTGCGAAAGATGAATGTCATTAATAATTTGGATGGACAAAACTACCTTTTGGGGGTAATAAGTCTGCGTCTATGGATGCCCAGCGTGTATCAGTCTCTCTACAAATTAAACACCAGACGTCGATCGTTCTCCTTCAGAGCCCACGATAGTTATGAAATCTGATCATGAGTCTCTGTTTTTCTTTTTTCAGGCCTCCTGGTTTTCTGATCTCTCACAGAGTAATTAATTAATTTCATTAAGGGTTGATAATTATTAATCTCTGATCACGTAAGTTTTTCCTAAAAGTGGATCATCACAAATTAATTCCAAATCTGCTTTGATAATAAATATATATCTAATAATAATCTCTCACCAGATTGTGTGTATATTACACACAGAGAGCAGTAGGGCATAAAATAAGAAAGGTGGAAGGGAAAGGACAATCTTCTCACCAAATGGGATGCTCCACTTGCCAAGTAAAATAAAGGGGGAGAGGGGCATCGATCATCCCAATCCCTTTAATCACCACCAACCTTTAAAACTAAATTAATTTTGTTATTTAAGAAAGTCGGCTGGAGGGTTGAGCTGTCAGCGTTCAGCCTCCATTGCTGGTGCATCATTTCTTTTCTCAACAGTTTTTGGTCTGTTTTCTACATCTATTGTTAAATCTGAAATATTAATTTGCGACAATTGAAGGCGATAAGAAATCTAAGACACCCATTTATTGAGACACAAGTGACCGACCACCAAATACTTGTGTGGTTTGTTGTGTGAATTGCCCAGTAGTTAACAGCACAAGGGACTTTGATCATGACCCCTGATGGGATGATTTCAACCGTTCGATTGGTAGCATTCACATCATTTATTATACAATCATATGGAACCGAATGTACCGGACCATAATTAATTATGCATAGTATATGCTAGCTTGCTGCTACGTTGTATCCATTTCTACATAATTGTTGTATGTATGTGAAGAGATATGTTTGCCTCCTCTTCTCTAATAATCGTGGACCTGGTTTTTAGGACAAGAGCGAAAGAACTAATGTCACAGGAGTGAGCTGGAGTTGAACGTCTATATACTATCACACACACTTTTACACACACACACACACACACACACACACACACACACACACACACACACACACACACACACACTAGTTGGAAACAAGAAATTTAGCTGGCTCGTATTTATGTTAATTACCCAAGTTTTTTCAAATAATAAGATGAAAAAATTCCATTAATTTGTGGAAACTATGCATTATATAATTCTTCATGGGCTGAGATGAATACTGTACAAATTAAAGGCTCTTCTGCTTTGTTTTTCAAATTTTATTATTTTGTGTGTTCCTCTCTACGTTTTTTCCCTTCTATTGCAAGATTTAATGTCGTTACGATGGTAGAGGTATAGTCATCAAATCACCAACTCTCTCGAAGGAGTAATGGCCACTCTTTTTATTTGCCACCAATACACGCATTATGCTTCTAAAGTAATTTAACAGCCATTAGTTATTAGGGTTTTCTTTCGCCAAGAATTGGTCACAAAACCCTAAGCCTGTAATTTGAAATTAATTATATATATGCTAAAGGTGGAGGTGATCTTAATTAGTTTATATGAATGAATTGATAATACGGCAACAACTAATTTAGTCCTTGAAGGAGTATTGATCAGTAGGATCCACTAACACCTAACACATATTACGTAGAGGCTAATTAGTCTTGATTTTTATGAAAGATATTAACTAATTAATCTTTTTTCAACTTAGTAGCAATAATAGAAACGTGCATGCCAAAAATGGCTCAAGAACAGTATGCTGCCAAACAGCAACAGATAAATATTAATAACAACAATAAAAATCAGAATGATTAGTATGAGCTCATGCTCAAATATATATACAGAGCAGCACCTGTGTTGTAGCTAGTGGATCCACATTTCAAAATCAAGAGATCGTGTAAATAAACACCAAAGAAAATCAAGTTCCAGCGCAATCAATGGCTAAAATCTCACAGTAGTGAAAGGAAAGGAAAGGACATGAAAAGCCAATTGAAGGGCCGGGCTGCATCTTCAATCACTGTGCTTTGAAATTGCAGCAAAATAAAGCTGGTCTGTGATATGAAATTAATTAAGGATGGAATGAAACATGTGCTCCAAAGAAGCAATCAGTGCAGAAATGTCAAAACCCAATACCGTAATATTGCTATTTCATTAACAATGTTGTGATTATGGTGGTAATAATTAATTATAAAAAGGTTCGATAATGTCTTACATGTGCTGAAATGTAGCTGCTTGGGAGAAGGCACATGGAATTGCTGTAATCATATCAAGGCTTGTCTGCTGATGATCAGTTTTTTGTCTACAAATATTTGGTACCAGTTACCAATTCTGTCAATAATTTTTTTTAAGGAACGAGTTGAAGTTCTCTCGTTAGGAAAAACAAGATTTTTAATTCTTAAAAAAATAAAATAAAATTGCAGCATAGATAACATAAATAAAGAATTTATTATTATTATTAATATGAATATTCAGATAAATTTGTATATGCCAACTAAAATTATAAAATAAAATGGATTTATATAAATTGAAAATTAAGAGTTCACCGATGCTTCTCACGAGTATTCTACTTATTGTTTCTATACTATGATACCTATTTATTTAATATATAATTCTTTAATTATTATTAATATTATGATCATCATCATGATCATGATAAAAGCGCTGCTAATGTTTGGTATTTCATGCTTCTAATCAGAACCAAATCGATTTATTATGAGATGCGTTCTTATAATTAATAAACAATATAACAGTGAATGATCAAACATTTGACTGCCTCTCCTTTTCCTCTCTAAACGGTAAGAATAACTAATATGTTCTCGTATATAATGGCAACAAAAATTAATAAAATATATATTTATTATTGATTAGCATAAGCAATCATCTATCAAGAAGTTCTGCTATGAAATAGAATTAATCCTTATAGTATATGCCAAAACTTTAGGATTTTCTATGTTAATGACATAGAACTTTATGTAATATTTAATGTTGATACTTTTTAAATCTAAATTTTATACTTTTTTTTTTTTTATCACGGAGATGCCCAATTCATCACTAGAATCTGGTGGGTCTAACCCTTTAATTGTCACCATACATTTTATTCAAAAATATATATATATATATATATATATATATATATATAGCAAAAGCTGCTCCCGTGGTCGTATCAATTAGCTAAAAAGCCTGAAAAAAATGTCGTTCTAGATGATATAATACCTGTTGAAACCAGATAAAAAGGGTTAGCGCACCACTCAAAACAACATAAGATAATTTCTTTTAAAATAAGAAAGAAGAATAATTTGTTCCAAGGGAAATTAATCAGGGATATTAATTTTGTGTGTGTGTAGTATTAGTTTAAAATATGATGTGATATCTGGACCACCTTAAGCGTGTATTTCTCACATAAATATCTTTTCTTGTTCTTCGTATTAATATTCAAAGATAAGTGTTTTTTCCCCTCCAAATTTGTTATCTATACAAAGAAATGGAGCTTGGATTTGCATTCCATGATCATACAAATGCTTTTTCTTTGTGATTTATTACACATTAATCTTTAGAAAGGTACTTTTTATGATCTATAATGCAAGAAAATTAATATATTTATCAGTCAAAACACATCATACAGCCATGATCCATTGCAAGAGAATCATTCGACGTAAATATCTTACTTTAATTACGAATCACTTTTGTCATATTAAATACAAAAAGGATAAAAGAAAAGGGAGAAAAAGTTGTGTTAAAGCATGCTAGGTTGAGAATATGACCATATATGGACTACGTATGAAGCACGTACGGATCATGCGCAGGAGCACGCTCGTAGATGTCTAATAAATACATGGACGACAATCGACGACATAAATGCATCTGGGAAAACCAGAGAGAACCTTGTCAACTAGCATTGCCCTACAAAATGCGAAGCGGTAGGTGTTTCCGAGGAAAAGCCAAGGAGGCAGGAGGGGGGGTGTAGCCAAGCTTGGAAGAATATGGAATTTTTTTTGTTTTTTTTTTTAAATTTTGAACAAGAAATGGAATGATATGATGGTGATTAACGTAATTCCCAAGGAAAGGAGAAGCATCGTCGTCGTTGGGAGATGGTGGGAAGGAAGGAGAAGTAGAAGTGGGGTCAGCCCTCCCAGCTGTAGTTTTTTGTCCTCTTTCCTGAACCTAAGATTGAGACAGTCAGCCTATTGCTGCTGTCCCTTTTCCTTTCTTTCTTTTCTTCTTTTTATTATCTTCTTCTTCTTCTTCTTCTTCCAAGTGAAAAATAATTGTATTGAAAAATAAAAAACGAGGTGATGAATCATGAAGCAGACAGTGGTCCCAAACAAAATACTTGGAGAGAGAAAGAGAAGGTAGGGAGGATGGTGTGGTCACTTTCAATCAGCCCCCCCCCTCTCTCTCTCTCTCCTCCTCCTTTTCCCTTTCTCTGTTTACTTTCCCTTTTTTTTTTGAAAAAAAAGTCACACCTCTCCTTCTCTACAGTAAATGAATTCTCGTCTTGTTTACAGAAGTCAATCCATTTCCTCATCATGATGCCC